TATGGAGGCATTCTCATATATCCCCGGAACTAAATTGAAAACTTGAATTTTGAACACAGGAAACATGAAGAAGTGGGGAGAGAGGATTTACTCAATTTATCAATTCAGAAGCAGCATTCTGGGTGAGCTATCTCATTAAAAGGAAATTTCTGTATCTAATAAAGATTTAAAAAGTGTAAGATATTTAACAAAGATTAAAGTACTGTAAGGTAAGGGCCAAAATAAAAACCAGAGAATGAAGTTTCTTTTCATTGCTGTACTTACTAAGGCATTGGTGAATTTACTTCAAATCTTTAAATTAAAAAGTAAATGGTGAACAAAACAGCACCTAAGTTACACTCAGCTTTCTTCAATTATATTAATTTTGATGACTGCTTAAGTTTACTGATTCTTTTGAGATTTATTAAGCACCTACTATGTGCCAGTCTCCTTGTAATGGGCAGTGTGGGTACGACAACCACAGACTTGGCCCCCACCCTGTAGGAGCTTAAAGTCTAGTAGGGAAGGAAAGTAAGCAGACCATTCAAATCCAGTGCAGTGAGCGATACTTCCGGCATGCACAAGAGGGGACTACCCAGAGATGGTTGTGATTGAAGTCTTCCCAGGAAAAATCCCTACTGAGTCTTGAAAGGAGAAGTTAGCCAGAAAAGTCTAGGAAGTCAGCAGTAGGAGCAGCTTAAACAAGGGAATGACAAAGCATGATGTTTTAGGGGAACTGCATTTACTGGTGAGGTTCAAATCGTGGGTGTGAGTTAAGGAGTGACAAAATCTAAGGCTGAACAGAGAAATGCAGGGATGGCAAAGGACTTTGCTTGCCAGGCTGAAGAGTTCACGTTTTATCCCAAGGTTATGAAGTACCACATAAGGATTACATTTGGCAGTGGCATAAGATTCGTTTTAAAAACCTGTTGGCACTGTTTAAACTGGTTTGGAGCAGAGTAAGATTAGAGACTAGGAGAGGCTGCAGAAATCCAAGCAAAAGATGAGGAGGCATGAACAAAGACAAAGGATGAAATAATGGATGACAGCATAGATTAGAAAGATTAAGGAGTTAGGACCCTTAAGACTTGGAGATTGATTAACTGTTTGGGGATCTAGGTAGACGATGTTGGGGAAAAGAAAAGAAGTTTCTCCTCCTGGGATTAAGGGCTGTTGGGAGAAATTGCTGGGAATGGGGGAAAGATGGAGAGCTGAGTGTGAGTCAGAGACCGTGCTGTTTGATGTACCTGTAGCAGATCCAAGGGGATGTGTCGTAGGCAGACTGACTTGGAAGACTGGTTCTTTGGAAAGATGTTGGGGCTAGATATACATATTTGAAAGCTGCATGAACATCCTATTGTTGCTGTGACAAATTTAGTGGCTTAAAAGCAACACAAATCTGTTCTCTTACAGTTCTGAAGGTCAGAATTATGAAATGAGTCTCACTGGGCTAAAATGAGGGTGTCAGGGCTGGGGCAGTTCCCTCGGGAGACTTCAGCGGAAAATCTCTCCCCTCCCCTTCCCAGACCCTAGAGGCTACCTGCCTCCCTCAGCACAGGCCTGCACCGTACCTTTTCTCCCTGTTCCTGTCATCACATCATTTCCTTTCAATTGTGACTCCACCTGTGTCCCTCTCATAAAGACCCTCGGGATCACACTGGGCCCTCCTGGGTAATCCAGGGTAATCCCCCATCTCAAGATCATATCTGCCAAGTCTCTTTTGCCATGTGAGGTAACATTCACAGGTTCTGGGGATTAGAACAGGGACATCTTTCAGAAACACACTTAAGAGCCATGAAAAAGGATGAAATTATTTTGAATCTTTTTAAAATTGATTTTTACAGAGAGAAAAACATCGATTTGTTGCTCCACTTATACATTCATTGGTTGCTTCTTCCATGTACCCCGATGAGAGAGAGAACCCGCAACCTTGGTGTATTGGGACTGACACTCTAACTGACCTACCTGGCCAGAGCGGGTGAAATTATTTTGGAAAAGCGAGGAAGGCTGTCACAGAAACTAAGGGAAAAGAACATTTCTGGGAGGGAGCGATATACTGGTGAAATGCTGCCAAGAAGTTAACCAAGATAAGGAAAGAAAACTGTCCGCTACTTTCGCAACTAGGTCATTGTAAACACAATGTCAGTGAAGTGATAGGGAGGAAACCAACCTGAGGCGTAAATGGAAAATGAGATAGTGAAAACAGTATTAATAGACAACCCATTTGAAGAAGCTTAGCTCTGGCAAGAAGAGGAGGAAAAAGAGCAATAGGTGAGAGGGGCATGAGGCAAAGGGGTGGGAGAGTTAGCGATGCTAAGGGGAAAGGGATCACACACAACAAGAGCTTGAAGGTGGAAGAGCTGTGAGTTCTCTGAGACGTAGGAGAGGAGGACGAGGGGGATAAAGCCAGAGAAGAGGCAGAGAAGCACAGACTAGGAGGACTGCATCTGACACCAGCGGAGGGAGGTGAGGACGACCCTGGAGGCTATATAGGTTGAGGAGGGCGAGGCAGCGAAGCTGGCTTTAGACTGATGAGGCAGAAGATGAAAGTTCTGTCCACCAAGAGTGAATGGAAGGAAGCAGGGTGCTTGAGAAGAATGAGGTTAGAAATGGTGGTGGGGGTGAAGGCAAAAGGCTATGACTGGAAACGTGCACAGTGGTAGATCATCAGCAGGGCGGGGGCGCTAGAACTGTGTTATTTGGAAGTGAAAACAAAGCAAGAGAAACAAAACATGCAAGGTCTACAAAGGGAAGGATGAGCAGCTTAAGGCTGCAGCTCTATTACAGAATAATCTCCATGTATTCCGTACGAAGTATGAGCAGGAGTTGTGGCCATTTTTTGTCTTTAAACAACTCTAAGTCAGAAAGTTTGCTAAAGTATCCCAAGTCTGCCATGGTTTGAGTCACACATGCAGATTTAAAGATTTCCAAACGTACAATCCATTTCAGAGAGTCATGAGTATTTTCATTATGTAGTTATTTTTTATTTTAGACGAACATTATTGTAAAAAAAAAAAAAGTTCATCTGGAATAAAGTCCATTTAAAAAAAACACACAGCATCAGTATCAGTACATGGTTAATGAATTGGCTTAAATGAGGTTAACCACATGACAGGTCCACTTTCTCTGCAGGAGCTTTTCACATTAAGCTGTTGGAGCAAAAATAAAATATTCTGAAACATACATAGTGGGATAACTAGATGGAAAAACTAGATATTTCCCATTAGGGGCATGATTTTAGTCAAATAGCTTATGGTATTTTGCATTAAAGGAACTGCAGTGTCAGCTGCAAACAAAATAAAACCCATCTGTAAGGCCATAGGAATGAATTATAATAATTAAATTCACATTTTTTAAAAAGGTAAGAAAATGAAGCAAGAAGTTTTATTAGTTCTTGGCAATAAAAAATGCAATTGCATATGGTACAAGCATTTTAAAAAATAAAATTTTAAATATCCCTAAAAATAATTGTTTGCTAATTTGCATGTCTGTAAATTTCATTTAGATTTTTTCCATAGTGAGCATGACACCCATTAATTTTATTAGTCTTTCAAAAAAGACTAATTCTACTGTAAAGTTGTGCTAGCATTTGAAATTTTATTAGCATATCCTGTCTCTCTAGGACAAGGGATTTCATTTTTAGACATTTTTTCCTCCCGTTCTTTAGCTGTTAACAAGAAGGAAAAGGGAATGTATTTTCCATTGAAATAAAAATTCTGAAAAACCTGATGCCTGATGGCAGAAGTGACTGCTTAAAATCGGAGACAAGTAAACTGACATAATGAAGTGCTGTTTTAAAATGTTAAGCTTAGAAGCTCATCTTTAAAGATTAAGAACTAAATTTATAAAGAACTCTAAGTCATGAACTAGAAAAGAAAGTCTGCTTAAATGTGTCACTGTTCACAGGAAAAACTTTATATAAGCCTTGATACAGATTCTCAGAATTAGAACCTGTAAAATGGAGTTATAATCTCTTATTTAGAAATTTCTGCAAACATTTATCTATATTGCACAGCTAAATTTTTTAATGGAGACAGGGAGATAATACTTTTCTTTTGCACTATTGGATATGACACACATGTTCTATTCTAAACTACCTCCTATCTTTCCCAATGATGCCTTTAGTTCAAAACAAAATATAATCTAAACTGTGTTGGATGCTTAAAGGCTGGCTCACTGTTTCTCTATCAGGTATTAGAATACTAGTTAGCTAAATGAGGTATAATTAAAAATAGTCCTTCAAAGTAAAGAGTATAGTCTTCTGAAAATTTATAACAAAGACTGCACAAAATGTTCATGTAAATAGTAAGAAACCCTGCAGCATCTCCTAACTGATGCACAGGTGGGTTATTTTCTCATAATCTGTCTGAAGTAAAATATAGCTAAAATAAGTTCCCAGTGAAACATTTTACAGTCAACTGATTTACATGCTACTTAGTTACAGCACATTTCATTGTCTGATACCCTCAGACTCTGTTTGAAAAGGTCTAGTCCAATCATTGGCAGAAATTAGCACACTGATAATAAAGTGCAGCCACTGGATACCACTAATACTGCTGCAAAAATCTTCATGTACCTTATCCATAAGACCACAAAAATGTTCAAATAAAACTAGATTTCTTCTGTTTCAGCAGGGAACAGACAATTATCTCTCACTAAATTCATCTACAAATAGAAAAAATAATGCACTATATGTACATTATTAAGCAAAATGGGATATTTATTGGGTCATTTTACCATGCAGAAGGTGAATTTCCTATGTTCTTAGCTCAAATTATATACAATTTAGCAAGACTAAATGTAAGAAAATAGCAAGGAAGATTTATTTCTATATAACAGAGCATACACCCCCAATTTGCTGCTACTTCAAAGAGCACCTTTAGACTCATCTAGCTTTTTACAGGCTCTTTCAAAGGGAAGTTCATGGAGACTAGTTATTAACCTACATAAGACAAAAGAGAGAAGGAATAAAACAAAAGCCAAGCACTCTATTTAAAAAAAAAAAAAAAAAAGGGCTAACCACAGAATACATCAGTTTTGGTTTGCAGACAACCCCTGAGATATAAATCAAAGTGTTAAGACACCAAATAGTCAGAGGTAAATTACTAAGAGAATTACATTCATACATGGTGTCAAAGCACTTGCCTTTTAGAAACTACTTTGTTACCCTCCAGAAAGCTTAACTGCTTGGATCTTTTTTTCAGAAAAGTAGTGAATATAAAATGTTTCTAAGAAGTTATTTTTTCTTTCCAAAAATGTATTTAATTTTAAGATGGTAGACTTGCAATCAACTTTCAGTGAAGGGACTACTTGACTATACTGGGACACCAAAGGTGCCTTTAAGGCTAAAATTCGTTAACAATAAGTTTAGTGTATCCATCAAAAATAGCTCTGGAATATTTGCTGCGGCTAAATTGTGCATAAGTTTTCAAACAAGTAGTAAAGGTTGAATGGTCCCAGCATTCTAATGATACATCTGAATTCGAAGCAGAATTTTCTGTGGTAACAAGCAATCTGTCTCTACTTTCATTTCCCATTCTTAATTTCAAGCACGATAGTAAACTTTGTGAAACAAAACAGGCCTAAGAGGAAGAGTAATTTTTAACAATTCATTTCCTTCATCACCTCTTTATTATTCCCTTCTGTGTTATGACACTGAAGGCTAGAATAAAAGCAGTGACATAATGGTCTTAATTTGGCACATAAGTTAACACTAAGTACCTTTCTTATGTGATGGTTTCATCTACAAAAGTTCTACCAATACCAGTGTTTCATAAGAAGAGCAGCTAGGCTTTTGGTTGGCTTTGGCCCAAATGACTAGACCAAGTTCTCTTAACAATGCACCTGAACAGATGGAACTGGGTTCTACACATTCAACGATAACTACTTTAAAGCTGAAATCTTGCTCATATTTTTCTCTAATGAAAAGGCAAGAGTTTTCTGAGAGGCTGCACTAGGTCTAATTATTTTCATTAAAAAAAAAAAAACAAACCCAAGTGAAAACAGAACAAAAATTATTGTCTTCACCATTACCAAGAGCTATCCGTACTAAATGTATATTAACAAGTTAGTCTCTCTCCTTACAGGTAAGCTTTCTGTGAACTAAAATCTAAACCTAACTCTTGTTAACTCTTGTAGACAGGGATTACGGTAAGAATTCAGTATTACAACTACACCAGCAAGCTAAGGAGTAAACCTAAGAAAAAATACATTATGTGTGCTGATGTGACGGAACCACATTTAGACACTGAAATAAAACCCTAAATGGTACACCTTTCTGCCCATGTAAAATTTCAGCTCAAGAAGTTCACAACTAGAGCAGACAACAGTGGTCAAATATGTTATGTTTTAGATAACTGAGTGATTACAATAGGTCAAACATAGGAAAAGATAGCAAAAACACACCCCAGGAAAAGTGAGGTTAAGGTCATTTCCCAATGCAGTTTTTTTATATATCAGGCAGAGTGAATTAACTGAAAAAGTGATTTATCAAGCTACCCAGACTCTCCGGCAAAAAGGTTAGGAATGAAGCAAAACGCTCAACAAGAAATAAAGAAATTATGGCCTCTGATGAATAGATGGACATTTTTATGAATTTTTAAGATAAATTTTACCAGAATTTAATGATTCTTATTTAAGAAAATCACAAATCAGAGCCATTAAAGAAATGCTATGAATGCAGTAACACCTGGCCATATGAACCAGACCAAATGTCCTTTAATTTTAGTATATTGACCTCTGCTTCAAAAGTTTTCCTCTTTTTTTAAATATTCCCCAAAGCACAAATTTGCCTAGAACTTCATGAGTCAAAAGTGTGCACAGACTGGTCGATAACAGGAAAAGGCTAACACTGATGTGCAAAGTGGAAAAGAAAGAGCAGCTTCTGCAACAGGCAGTAAAACAAAGGAAAAAAAACAAGTCTTGCGTGTGTCTCCATATCATTGCTTCCAGGTTTGAACAAAGGAGCCTGCTATCTTGAGAGGCCAGGAGGCTGGCATCCCCTCGGTTCCACGCGGGGAGGCCTGGGGTCAGGGGTGCTCTCAGCAGCAGCCTGGCGGTGAGATTCTGAGGCTGGGTGGCCTGTGCTTTCAGAGAAGCAGGAGCGTGTCCTCCAGGTGTGCTGCAGTCTCTCAGAGAAAGTTCATCAAAGTAGAGAGCAACGGAAGAAACTGGTCTTCTTTGATCGGTTTTCTGTTATTTTCACTGGTCCACCTGCCCCTGATGAATTGCTGTCATTCTAAAAATCAGAATATAAAGTTACTGAGAAGTTTCATGGTTTGACCCCAATTATCTAAAAAACAATCTCAAACCTATCATAAATGTGTATTCAATAGATTAGTTTATTAGAAAAGGAACTAGTTAAGCTCTGATGTTGTTGGTTTCTTTGGAAATGGTGGGTTAAAATGAGAAAAATGTTTTTAAGATAGCACTTTTTGTACATATTAATATCAGGTAGGAAGCTCCTATTTCCAATTCAAAGAAATTATTGCTTAAGTTTCAAGGGTAATAATGGCAACAAAGTTAACATATTGGTATAGGCAATCCTGTTGTTAGAGGGAAGGGGAGTTGGTTACATAAGGTATACAATTATATTCAGAATTCAGATTAAAATAAACTTTCAAGGTTGTCCTGATTCATTACTGAGATCCCTTCACATTTAAGGACACTTTAGCAACTTCAAGTCATAATTATATATAGTTATATGTCACATCAAAACTGAACTAGATAACATTATGGTGAAAATCTAATTTGTGCCATTATTATTTTAATTATTCGGATCAAAATTCAATTAAAGTTCACTTAACAAGCCAGATAAAAGAACTGAAACAGCTGCATTTCAGAAACAAGAAACCCGAAGAAACAAATAAGAATCAAAGTTCAACCAGATGAATATGTGAGTTAAGGAAAAAAATGAGTTAATGTGAATATATTATAATCAAGCCTATCCTTTTAATCAAATAAACATGCAGCATAAATACAACAAATTTATAAACAGCATAATGAAAATAAAAACTCTAATTGATACAAACCATTTTTCTGTTGAGTTTTGTCATTATATCTCGTGCAAGTGTAAAAAATGCCTAAAAATAAACCAAAAATTGCATTATTATATATCTATATTTTAAAATAAAAAAATGTTTTCATTCTATATATACTATTTTAAAGCCTTTGAGAAAAAAACATAACTGTAATCATAGTATACACATGACTATTGTATCTTATTTTTCAATTATATCATAAACGTTTACCAATATTATCAAGTTGTAATTCATTCATCAAATATTTCCTGCACATGGTATCTGGCCCGCATCCCTAACACGACACTCTCCCAGGCATGTGTCGCCCTCAGTTCCCCGAGAGCGGCTCGGGGGCAGGGGCTCCGTCTGAGCCACCCCCGCATGCCCAGAGCAGGGCACGGTGCAGGAGATGCTGAATATCTGATAAGTAACTGAATAAATATGTTTTACCCTATACCTCTAAAACCTGTTTTTACAAGACTCTCTCCCTTTTATTCCCAATGTCCTCTCTTTCAAATCACTTTCACTCTTATACCTGAGAATATATAATTTTAACATCCCCAAATCCCAACAGTACCAACAACTTGGCTAAATTCCCCACGGTGGAAATCAGTTCAAATACATGGAGAACAAATCTGATTTAGCTCAGTGACATTTTAGACCTAGTGTTTGCCCCAAACCAAGACTCTTCAAGCTTCTTCAGTTGTCTCCATGCTGATAAACCCAGTGTGATAACAGCCTCCTTGCTCCCGACTGTGCCTGAAGCCCCCAAAACTATTCTGCAAAAGGATCACTTTCAATCAAGTCCAACAGAAACAGTACAGTAACTATTCTGATCACTCGTGTGCTGGTGTGTCACTGTTACACTCATCACTTGCGAGTCTAAATTTTTAATTGAACCCATCCCAGTTTTTATGAGGCTAACCACACTAAGTTAAAGCTCTGGGAAAATTGCTAACTTCTGCAGAAAACCAGTCCAGAGTAAGCAGCCCAGGTAACCCCCAGCTCTGTAGCTCCATAACTCGGTGCTCATTCTATGCCACAAGTGTGATGAGGGCGCAAGGACTGACAGAGGCCCAAGCCTGCCCCAGTGCGCCAGGGCACCGAGTTCACACCGCGGGAGAAATCCCATGCAGGCCGTCTCAGCGAGCGAGCTTTTCTCCCGCCTCCTCCATCATTAAAGCGGATTTAAGAGGGAAGGCAATCCTTCTGTAGCAAGCAGAAGGAAGCATTTTTCTGCTTATCCATGCTTATGCAAATAAATCAGTAGAAACCTTGTTTCCTAACACCCTTTAGCCAACCTGAAAAAATGAGTTTTATTTAAAACAAAGAGAAAGTTCTGATCAGTGTCCACTATCCAATAAAGTTATTTAAGCCTCAATCTTTAGCTGTGATGAAATGGTGAACAGTAAGTAGCTTTAGAAATTAAATGTTTATCCAATTAAAAAAGGGGCAAAGGACCTGAACAGACACTTGTCCAAGGAAGACATACAGAGAACCAGAGACATATGAAAGGATGCTCAGCATCACCAGCCATCAGAGAGATGCAAATTGAAATCACAATGAAATACCACTACACACCCATCAAAATGGCCATCATAAACAAATCAACAAACAACAAGTGCTGGCGAGGTTGTGGAGCAAAGGGAACCCTAGTGCACTGTTGGTGGGAATGCAGACTGGTGCAGCCACTGTGGAAAACAGTTTGGAATTTCCTCAAAAAGCTAAAAATAGAACTGCCTTTTGCCCCAGCAATTCCACTGCTGGGATTATACCCTAAATTATTATAGTTATATCCTATAATTTTGGGATTATGCCAAAACACTAATTCAAAAGAATCTATGCACCCCAATATTCATAGCAGCACAATTTACAATAGCCAAGTGCCGGAAGCAACCTAAGTGTCCAAGAGTAAATGAGTGGATCAAAAAACTATGGTGTATTTACACAATGGAATACTACACAGCAGAAGGAAAGAGCTACTACCCTTCGCAACAGCATGGATGGACTGGAGAGCATTATGCTAAGTGAAATAAGCCAGATGGTGAAAGACAAATACCATATGATCTCACCTATAAGTGGAACCTAATCAACAAAACAAACAAGCAAGAAAAATATAACCAGCAACACTGAAATACAAAACAAACTGACAGTAATCAGAGGAGAGGAGGGAGGGGGATACCAAGGAAAAAGAAGGGGAAGGGTCGTCAGGGAACATGTATAAAGGACCCAGGGACAAAGCCAAAGTGGGGAAGGATCGAGGATGGGAGGTGGGGGTGGGTGGGGCAGAGGAAAGTGGTGGCGGGAAAATGGAAACAACTGTACTTCAACAACAAAATTTTTTTTAATATAAAAAAGAAATTAAATGTTTATGAAAAATCATCAGTATTAAGTGAATTACATGTATTAAAATGTATTAAATGTAATATTTTTATGATGTTTTTAAAAAATATTATCAATAATTCTGCCTTTGGTAAAGAAAATCTATTCTTAGAAGACTTCAGATTTATTTGGTTTTCTTTACCAGTTAATTTATTGAATTATTAAAGCACTTTCCGATAAACACCCTTTCTTATTTCTACTAAATGCTATTGTGTTACAATGTAGCATGCTTAATCGACTTCAAACATGTACACTAAGGGAATCTGTTCAATGAGCTAACAGTTTAATTCTTTCTCTCACTCTCGAGTGCTTCAGACTCTCCTGCCACAGGCCACTACAGGATGACATGAACAACGATCAATGAGCCAAGGAAGACACTGCACTTGGTCAGCTAGTGCAGGATTTCCAGCTTCCCAAATACAGGGCAAAACTAAACTTAAACTGAATGTCCATATTCTGCTAGTGAATCTTAAAGGAGTCATCAAATACATTCCATGTGGCAGTTGGGTGCTAGAAATTCAACAACCAGGGTCCACATAAAAGCCAGAAGCACAGAAGTTCACAAAATGGATGTAGAGTTCACACAAGGCATTCACTAAGTCAGAAAAAAACAAGGCTTTGCCAACTACTTGAACAAAGGCACGAGTCACCAAATCTTTCTTTCTTTCTTACCTCTTCTACATTTGTACTGGATTTTGCACTTGTCTCCAGGAATTTAATCCCATAGTCAATTGCTAACTGAAAGGCAAAAGGAAACATTGAAATTTAGTGCAAGTTGCCTGAACGTATAAAGCACTTATATTTTCTAGGTTTTTCAAAGTCCCAAGGTAGAGTATTAGTTCAGAACTTCTACGGTTCTCAAATCTCTTTGCTTCCTTCTATTGTGTCTGAAATTGAGGTATCTCATTCATAAGTACCATGGCACCACGTCCACTCAAAACACAATTTAAGTGCTTCTCTTTTTTCCTAGGATACTTTCAGTTCTCTAATATACTAAAAGAAAACTATGACAGACACTCACCCCTACCATTAATTTGGGATTCATTTGCCTCTTTTATCTGCTCTGAAAGTACAATTCTCCAACAGTTACTATACTGACTTTTCATTATTTTTTAATAAATTGGTGCTTAACAGAAAAGCTTAAGATACTAGGTACTCACTGCTTTGGTTTCTAGTGATTGTAACAAATGTGAACTCTTCCATATTCCATCTACTCCCCAAAGAGTTCCCAGTTTATTTATAACATCGAGATTAAGAGAATGTATTTAGGAGAAAAAAAGTTTCAGGCAGATTGAAAACTATGTCACACACAGTGCTAAAGCAAAATTCCAAGACTTAAAAACTGAAGTCTGTAAGTCAATTTAGAAAATGTCACAGAAGTACCATATTTTGCTGTGTATAATGCACACCTTTTTTGCCCAGAATTTTTGAAAGAAAATTAAGGATGTGCATTATACATGGGTAGTACTAATTCTGTATCTACATAAATGTTTTTAATTCTTTTATTTATGCTTCTGTGTGAAAAGCATAACTCTAGAAAGCAATAACAATTATCTGTATGCAAAATATCCTGGAATATAATTGGTTTTACATATAAATAAAAAATTGAAATAAAAAATTAAAACGAAAGATTTTTTCCCCTGAAAGTCTGGGCCAAAAATGTGGGTGCATGTTATACATGGAGCACATAATACATGGCAAAATATGGATAAATGTGTATATATAATAAACTCCTTTGCTTTGCAGAACACAAAATAGAGAAATGCCTATAAAAGACCTACAAAATGACATCCATAGCTTGATAAGTTACAAGAAGTTTATCCATAATGACCTAAATTTACTGTGTAGTACACTATTCTTAAAAAACAATATAAAGTTGGGAAATGATTACTGTTGAATTTCACCTATCCTATTTTTTTCAAAGAGAATAAATTATTTTAACTTCAAAATTGGGCATTACCACACAGACATGGAAGAATTAGCCTGAACTCTAAGCTGCAGGAATCTGAAAAAGAACCAATTTGTATCTCCCAGAAAAGAGCAAATTCTTTAGGAATGAGTCATGACTACACAGTCTATAGAGCTAGGTCTCCAATACTAATTCGTACCATTCAAGTATGGATTACATCTCTTTGTTGTTTTTAAAGGATTAAAATATAAATATTTAAAAAACTTAAATCAATAATTATACTAAGAAAATAAATGCTTAATGTGAGTAGATTTGAATCTTTATGCCTTCAGTTCAAATTTACCTTCTCGCCTCGTTCTTTTGACACTTGTCTCTTGTCATTCATATCACATTTGTTACCCAGGATCATTCTCTCAACATCTGAAGAGGCGTGCTGCAGGGGCAAAGTCGTATGTTACAAAAACAGCCTGAGAAAAATACAGTTATTCAACAGACAAATTCTAACCTGTCAGAAACATACTCATGAATTTAATAATTAAGACAAGTAATCTTTCACTCAACACAAAGCATGATTCGGAGAAAATTTTAAAAGATGGGAGAAGGGGAAAAGCTACAGCATAAGAGGCTTTGCGAACTTTCTTCCCAAAGGTTTGCAGTCATTCTTGTCTTTTTGTACATGAACAAACAGAAATAAAACTTATGGTTCTCTAACAATGAAACTTTCACATTTTAGTTTGAGTCAAAGAAGAAAAAAAATTTGGAATTGAGTAAGCCAACAGGCAAGGCATTCTGGATTCTGAATTACTGAAAAAAATAAATTCACGTAGGTTAATATGAGTGTGTACAAAATTACTTCAGAAACAGATTTCTTTCTGAAATGTCAAATTTTTAATGCCGATCAATCTGAAATTCAATCAAATTTCAAATATTTAAGATGCCGAAAATGTTAGAAGGGCAAAATGATAAGTTGCTGGAATAAAGATATATTTTGTCAGTCCAACAGATGGTGGAACAGATAGAACTGAGAATCAGATGTAATCCTGGCTCTCCTTTTTAAAGGCTATATCAGCACAGGCAAAGTCACTTCTTTTTGGCCTCAGTTTTCTCATGTGTAAAAAGGGGCCTTGGATTAAATTATTTCCAAGATATGGCCCAGCTTTAAAATTCTGTGACAGTGTTGCTCCTCTGCCTGCCTCCACCCGCCACCCAGACCCAGCAAGGCAGGAAGACCAGCAGGCGGGAGATGGCGCCCTCGGCGGCGGTGCTCCTCAGAGCGAGGGCCTGCCCTGCCCGTGCCCTACTTCTTAGCCTCCAGCTGCCTCCAGCAGGGACGGGAGCCCTTGATAAGCACCCAGCAGGCATCATCGGGACCATCTCCAGTACCATCATTCTCTTCCCATATATATATACCTCTTCAATGTTTCTTATCCAGTTTTTAATATTGTCAAAGGACTTTTCGTTTGTGATGTCATAGACCAGCATAATTCCCTACAGGAGAAAAAAAGATCTTTATTTAGTACTATATATATTTAAAGTTATAAAATATAATATAGATGTACTGCTCCCCTACAGAAATGTTTTGGGTGTCTTTCCTTTTTTCTTTACAAAAGGAATTCATAATAATATTAGGTTGGCCAAAATGACTGTCACTTTTTTTTTCCATAAAATAAAAGACACAGTTTCATTTTCACCGATAACTTTATTGATGAGGATATTTTGAGTATGTCAGCTGTCTCCTACTACTGGCTTCTTTTGCGTAGAGACCAGAGGTGCTGCCAAACATCTTCTGATGCATAAGGCAGCCCCATAGCAAATAATTGTTTTCCCATACTGTCAACAGCACCAAGGAAATTCGCAAACCACTACTGGCATGTTCGATCAGTCACAGCACCTTCTCCAGACACTGCATAAGCCTATTTTTGTGTTGCAGTTGCATTTTTATCTTTCTTGAAATAATAAAGCATGTTGCATATTATCTTCCATCTTCACTATTAAAATGGCTGCACAAAAATTCACCAATTTTGATGTTTTTTAAAATGCACGCTGATATGACAGCTGTCACAATACAATCTAACAAAATTGTTTTGAATGAAATTAAAGGCAACTAAGCGCTACTAGAATCACTTTACAGAAAAAAATGTAACAGACTTTTTGGCCAACCCAGTATTTTAAAGTACAGAGAAGAAAAATAAATAAATAAATTCTTCCTTTGTCTTGCCCATGTAAATAAATACTCTATTAACATTTTCACTCTTAACCTTTAATAAATTAGTGATTATGGTAAAGATGATACAGCCTTTCTACCTGACCTCACATGATAAGAATCGGCACCAACTAGAGCTGAAAGAGTGTTTAAGTTACAACAGAGATAACATTGAGAGTAAGAGGCAATCACTCTGTTGTGTGCTTGTTTATTCCCAGCAGAAACTATCTTGCTTCTTACTCCTATACTAAAATTGTAACATACTGCTTTAAAAATATGTCTTCTTATACAGTGTGATCAAAATGTCACTATTGCCCTGGCCAGGTGGCTCAGCTGGTTAGAGCATCGTCCCAAACACCAAAAGGCTGCGGGTTCGATTCCCAGTCAGGGCACATACCTAGGTTGCAGGTTAGATCTCCAGTTGAAATGCGTACGTGAGGCAACCAATTTATGTTTCTCTCTCTCTCTCTCTCTCCCCACTTTCCACTCCCTCTAAAAAAATCAATAAACATATCTTTGGGTGAACATAAAAAAGAAAAAGTCACTATCTAAGTAAATCACAGCCACTTAAAATATAATAAATTTGTTATACAAGTTTAATGAAAGACATTGTCATCGTACTTTTAAAGACCTCATGGCTAGTGTTTCTTCTAAATCCTTCAACTGATACCTCTATGCTAAATATTCCAGAATCTATATCACCCGACCATATTTCTGTATTAAGTGCTAGATCTACCCCCCTATTCAGCCATTCAACAAATATTTAGTAAGCACCTACTATGTGCCTGATACTACACTAAGTATTACCAGCAGCGAACAAGATAGGCAAGGCTCCTTCCTCTCATGAAAGGATAGTAAACAAAACAAGCCAATAACTATACAGTTAAATATAATTTTGATAATTGCTATGAAGGAGTACCAGGAGCTCTGAGTACAAATGCTAATCTAATCTGATTGATAGGCAGGGGTGGTCAGGGAAGGCTTCCCTGAGAAAATGACACTGAACCAAGGCCTGAGGACAGAATAGACCTGAGCTGGGCAAAGGCGTGGAGGCTGGCACACAGGAGAAACACTACAAACATCTTGCTGACCAGGAAGGCCCAGAACCCACTGGATGTGAAGGAAAGAAAGTCAGCTTGGCAAAAGTACACAGTCCCAATGGGAGAAGGGCATAAGATGTGGCAGGAGATGTGACCTGGAGACCACTAACTGGATATCGTTTCCCGCATGGCCTCTTGTGCTCTATGAAAACTCAACTAAGTAAAACACAAAGGTTGCCTTCCTCCCTCCAAACCTTTACTTCCTTCTTGTACCCTCCTTTTGATGGAGGGCAACCCAATCCTGTCCGTCAGCCCAAGCAGACCCCTAGAGCACTCTCTCTCACAGTCAGCCAGTCACTAAGTCCTGCAGGCCCGACAGCCTCAGGGTTCCCAGAATATGACACTCCCTACCTCCCCACCACGAACTGCCTTATTCATACTCTCAGCAACTAACCCGTACCGGGATCAGTGTCAGAGTCTTTAACTGGTCTCCCTGATTTCATTCTTAACTGTCTCTAACCCGCCCTCCGTAAGGACACTGGAGTTACCACTTCATCAATCCCTCTCCATGTTTCTCATAGTTAAATGAAAATTTCTTAACATGGCAGACAATGTCCTTTAGGGTCTGGCTTCCAACTTTGTAAATGAATATAAAATGTAAATGTAAATAAAAATTAATCATATAAAATACATATGTACACACAGACAATCCAGGAAACAATAAAATGTTAACAGCTATCTCAGGGTGGTAAGATTTTGGGTGATTTCTTGGGATTTTCAAACTTTTCTATACTACACATAACCTTTAGACAGCCAGAAAAATATGTATTATTGTTTAAATGACAAAAAGTAATATCCTCTATCCTCTCTCCTCCCAGCCTGAAATGCAAATATTTCACTTTGGCTACATAGTAAAGGAGATTTTACAACTGTCAGTAAATAATTAAAAAAAAAATTAAAGTAGAGAACTATATATTTAAATCATAAATTTTATGTTATATATATTTACAATTAAAAAACCCCCTCAAAATTGAATCTGAATAATTCCTGATTCAAAGTGTTTAGTTGCCTATAATATTAACATCAACCAAATAACTGCCATAGCTCAACGGCCCCGTGGGCGGCATGGACAACCCTGACCTTGACTGCCTTATGTCTGGCGAGTGGCCCTCTGCATGGTTTGCACAGGAAGCATGCGCGCTGTGTAGCAGTTAGGGACACAGGTCCTGGAGTCAGAAGCCTCTCCTCTGAGATCCTAAGGGTGTTATTTTATCCTTCCCAGTCTCCATTTCTCATTTGTAAAATGAGGACAGTATGTTTTCAACACTTGATTCTTTTGAGAATCTATGAGATATTATAGATAAAGTACTTAACCTAGAACCCAGGATACAGCTTGGACTCAATAAATGGCAGCTATTTTTAATTTATATCTTGGTTTTAATAGCAGAAACCCTTTGACTATTCCCTATGTAAGCAAACGGACATGATTCAGCTAGAAATACAAACTCAAGTATCCTAGTTAAAATTTTATATATCTGATATATACCTATAATAACAACAGTTTTCTTAGAGTTCTTGAGACAGTGTTCGTCTATGAGAAATGTTGATAAGGCAATGATACGGTCCTTTTCTCCAAAAGCCTGACTGCCCATCAGGGTTACTGCGATGCCTGTTTATAAACATTGCTGAGTATAAAATAGACCGAAACACCCTGTGATGGTGGCGGACTCCAGCACAGTGCTAATCCACATGCTGCACATCTAAACCAAGCCAACCAAATCTGCCAGAACCGCCGTCTGCTGAAATGAGAACATGCCCCAATAGGAGCCCGATGGCCCCAAAAGGACCATGATGGCTCCGCATCCCACTGGAACACGTAACCTGCAGATCCGGAGCTCAAGGAGGGCAGGATTTCCTGAAGATTTATCTAAAACTGTCTCCAGGCCTGAAATTTTCCACTGACTCACCCTTTCAGCAAGGATTTATTGAGCACTTACTACATGTCAGGCACTGGAATTCAGCAGAACAAAAGAAACAAAAATCCCTACCTTCAAAGTAGAAAAGACAATACTATCTTAGAAAAGCAACAATTTCTAGTTATTTGAGGTAATGTGAAGAAAGACGAGGCAGTTTGTAAGTGAAAAAAAGGAAAATATTCAAATCTAAATTAAGTAACACATTTCAATGCCCTCCTTCCTCATACCATGAGCTAGAGCTAGATATCCAAGGGAAACATGCTCCGCACTCAGTGTTCTTGCCCACTCTCTCGTGAAAACAAGCATGCAAGTGTTATCGATACATCATTCCTGGAAAAACCGGTCAATAGAGAAGCTTGTATTAATAAGATGCTTCTAATCAAAATTACCTATAAATTATTCCAAATCATCCCTGCTAAGATGGTCTTATTTATCCCTAAAATTCTCCCTGGGGAAAACAAACAACATACAAACAAACTTCTTCCTGGCACAGAAGATAAGTCAGTCCCTTCCCTTTGATTGTAATCTAAGCAAAAGAGAGAGTAGCTGACAACTGTTTTTCTTACAATGATGATCTTTCACATCATAAATGTACTACAAGGGTGAAGTGTGGGGAGCACATGTGTATAAAATGTTCAGCAGTGTACAGTGCCAAGGTGACAGAGCTTTAAAAGGAATCCCCAATATTTCTGTGGGGATGAATTACTGGTACTCAAATAATAGAGGGTGAGGAACAATGGAACTGGGAGGGCAGCATGACAATAAAGGGATCTGTGGATTCAGAGCACATCTTCCTGAAAGCAAGGAGGCAGCTATCAACCCTACAGCTCTGTCACCCTGACTCCACTCCCAGGAACACAGTCTTTACACAATAAGCTGGGTAGGAGGGCAGCTGGTACCCTACAGCCTACTATGTTGAGCTTCATGATCTCAGCTGCTTGGACTTTCAAGATTCTCTGAGCACACTGTTTTATCAAAATTCAAAACTCCCAACTAGTGCTTGGATTAGGCCTAAAAGCCAGAGAAAAAGCGCGGGTCTGGGCCTGACCTTCTAGGCATGGTTCAGTACAGCCCTGCCTCTGCACTGCTTTGTTCGCCACTGCATCCCGGCACAACACAGAATCTGCTGTGAGCCAACAAGCCGTATAAATGGGCTGTATAAATGAAGGCTTAGGATGGAAAACAGCCAAGTGATGAGGTTATGCTAACAGGATGTGCTAACATAGCATGTAGCAAAGAAGGACTTGGTAGTCAAGATTCACCAGATTCTAAACCTCAAAGAGTCACCTATCATTAGGCTACTTCCTAGTCAGCTGGTAGGTGCTGGTGGGGGAGAATCCAGAGAGCTGAGCCATCGAAAGTGGATGCTGTGATAAGGAATGATAGTGGAGGGCTGAATGATGAGAGGGTGCTAGAAATGAATACTTATTTACAAAGCTTGTGGTTTGCTAAGACATTAATAAAAAGAAAAATCACAAAAATATACAATCACTCAGAATGCATGGAGGAGTCTAAAACACCTACAAGCTAAGTATCTATAATATTATGATGACTAATGGCAAAGTATACAGTTACTAAATTAAACACAAAACATTCTTTTCACATCAAAAAACCTATTTTCCCCATTGTACTAGACTTTAGCTTGAATCCTATAAACTTGACAAATGAATATTCATGTTTTACTTTCACCTGAAGAGTCACAAAGCCCCAAAACACACTCACCATGGCTCCTCTATAGTATGCTGTAGTGATGGTTCGAAATCTTTCCTGACCAGCTGTGTCCCTAAAATTTTAAACAAAGGAGAGAGTGGTTTTAAAAGTTGTCACCGGCATCACTGAGGAGAAACCTGAAGCTACAGGAGAGATAATTCTGGTTTGTTCCCAATTGCAGCGGTTTCAGGAAAAAGGGGAATAGCATACAAAGGGGGCCTGTTGTGAGTCTGTGAGCTGGAGGCGGCAGTGGCCGCGGGAGCCTGTCAAGGGTTCACAATGACTTGGGTGAAAAACTTGGACCCTGATGACAAAAGCAGCAAGGCGAGACTCTACGGCCTGCCAGGAACTGGCATGCTGCATTAGTCAAACACATATGGGAGACAGTAGGGGAAGTTCTAAATTTTTGGACTCCTAGAGGTAGTTAGAATCCTTTTTCTAAATGCCTAGTGATTAAGGCATTTTGCTCTCTTGAGTGAAAGTCTGATTTCTGCACAAAGAAAGCAATTGGGCTGGACGTACTACTGTGTGAATTCTGCTCAACAGAGCACATTTAAATGGATCTCAAGAACTTTTTCAGCTATGGAGCCCATAATTAAGTGGGAACATGGAGTTCAACACATAATTGTTGACAATGTTTTCAAAGACTTTAAAACATGAACACTACCACAAAATTACATAAACATTCATATATTCTTCTTTTTCAGCTGATGGCATACCATTAGACTACATTCTAAAAAAATACAAAGGTTTCCAATTACATTTATTGAAGTAATCCATATAAAGCAGGTCAAATTTCCTTGATATCTGGGAAAATCAATATTCCTAAATTTGCCACTTACCAGCAGAACTAATTCACTCCCTGTGCTACTAAGACAAACTAAACTGTACAATTTAATTGTAGAAAAGAAAGAGGCACTTGTGAAAATATACTAGAAATCTAATGCATCCTGAACCCAAACAAGAGATGAAGGCCCAAAGGAAATACGGTAAATTAAAAACAATAAATCCTTTAATACTTATGTGTACCTTAGAAATACTCTCACGTGATGCCTGCCACAGCCCAGTGTGTGGTACTACCATCACCCTTGTTCTACAGCAGAGAAGACGGGCTTGGGTGGGCTGTGGTCCCAGTTCTGCCACTAACCAGATCGTACCCTTAAATGAGACGCAAGCCACTTACATCTCATCCATGTAGTGCGGGGCCAGGGCTCGCCTCGCAGTCCAACCCTTCTGTTACTGACCAGGGTTAGTTACACAGGGCACTTGTTTGGTACATGGCTAATAAGCCATGGGGAAAATACAAATGAAGCACCTTTGAGTAGACCAACCGTATTTTGATTCTAACACACTACTTGACTTAGAGCCAGCTCTGCAGTGAGGCTGGAGGGGAAACCCGTCTGTGCTACGGATAGGTCAGGTAGGTCATGAAGACTACTATATTTTGCTGTGTATAATGCGCACCTTTTGCCCATATTTTTCAGGGAAAAATAAGGTTGTGCATTATACATGGGTAGTACTAATTCCATATCTATGTAATGTTTTTAATTCTTTTATTTATGCTTATGAATTAAAAGTGTAACTCTAGAAAGCAATAACGACATCTGTATGCAAAATAATTCCCTGGAATATGATCATCGGTTTTGTTTCTAAATATAAATAAATACAAAACTGAATTAAAAAATTAAAACAGAAGACTTTTTTCCCTGAAAGTTTGGGACAAAAACATGGGTGCGCATTATACACAGCAAAATATGGGTAAATACAGACCATTTTGCTGCTGAGAGTATCCAAAAGTAGAGCCATGATGTTATATTAAATTCTAATTGGCTGATAACCCACAGGCTCCTAGAAACACTCCCTATTGCTATGATTGGGACTATACAACACAGAATCAGAAATTCTCTTTGCTTTCCCCTTAAGAAACTGTTTTGTATCTTTAAAATATTTGGCTTCTTACTAAATATCAATAAATAAAAAGGGGTACCTGTGGTAACCTTCATGATGTTTTCTAAAGATATATACAGGGAACTAGCATACTAATATATGACGCTGACACAATGCTCCTTCCAGGATATTTGGGTAGTCTGAGCTTTATCACTAACCCAGACATATGACCCCAGGTGGACTTAACCACACTAAGCCCTAGTTTGCTCCTCCACAAAAGAAGAGCTAGTGACTTTCAATACAATGTTCTAATTCTATCCCTGTTCTGAAATTCAAAGAAAAAAAAAAACAGCCTAAGAAATAAGTTCATGTATATTACTTCACTATTTCACCATGTGTAGTCTGTGTAGCTCTACATTGCTAAACTGGATCTACTGCTGTCATCGCCACACACTGGGTCAGCAAACAGCATCAAAACCTTTCTCAAGGCTCCAAATCTATGTATACAGTTCCATGGAAGGCCCTGTACTGAAAGAAATTAAACCACTTTATAGGAGGTTAAAAAAAAAAAATCTATGAAGAGTTTCTGAGTTCAATCCAAAAATGTTCAACCTGGCAATCTGGAAGAACCATATTTATTCACTGTAGTTTGAGAAATTCTTCAGGAAATAACCAGTCAGATTTGGGTGATCTTAAGGAGATCTTCGCCTTGCATACTGCAACACGAGAGACGAGAAGTATGACTTTTTTCTCCCTTATTTCCTTGTCCAGTGTTCCTCATTTTATTTTTTTAATTGAATGAGAATAATTATGCTAGTAAGTATCAGAGCTGTAGGGAAACTCAGATATTACCAATCTAATCAGTCAATTTACATATGAGGGAAAGTAGGTCTGGCCCCAGTCCTCAATTTCGAGGCAGTCCTGGCTAGAAGCTAGATCTGCACTTCCTGTTTAGGGTTCCTCATTTCACAGCTGCAACAACTATAATAAAAAAGTAATTTATGCTCTTCTAGAATTTAGTTTCCTCCCCTATAAAATTAGCATTTGGGAAGAATGAGTTCTCAGTTCCCTTCTGGCTGTGAGTTTGCAGTATTGTTCCTTACCTTCCCAACTCTTAGAGAGATCTTTGAATATTTACCCATTTCCCCTTCATTCTGATAAATAAAAGATGTTTTAGGAATTACAGAATACCTCTAATTTATCACAATCCACATTTTAATTCCCACTTTCACTTCCTGACTACAGTAGAAACTCTGGGTGTGTATATATTTACTTACCATATCTGAAGCTTAATTTTCTTTCCATCCAGTTCTATCGTTCTGATTTTAAAATCAATTCCTGCCAGAAAAAGAAAGACAGACATGCTGAATTTCTTCAACTATAATTCAAGTCTTATTAGGAAAAGGACAAAGATTTCTATTGGGGGGAAAAAAAAAAAAAAGGCTCTCCAACGCCCTGGAAAATGTGAACACAGGGTGTGAATGGTATGTTTCCTCTGAATACAGGCTGAAGAGAGGAATGCTAATTACTCTGCAAAGAATTCCCACACATGTTAAATGCAATGTATTATATGCCTCATTATTTTGAAATAAATGGATCACATCCCTCAAAGTTACATAATTTAGATAGATTGAGAACATGTCTTTTTTTTTTACTTCCTGAAATACATATAAACAATGTTTCCTACTCCTCATGCCCCATCCGTTCCCAAAGACAGCCATGGGGCCTCTCCATAATGTCTTCCTCAATCCTTCCCACTTGTTTCTTTAAAATCCGCAACTGGCTAAGCAAAAACAAACAAGCAAGCAAACAAATAAACACACACTCCAACCAACCAACCAAACAAACCCTGTCTATTTGAAGGGAGGGATGGGAGAGCCTGTATATTTATTTAGTATAGTTAAGAAGTATTTTACATACATTTTAAAAAATGTTCCCTGCATCTTACTGGCTAGAGCTGAAAAAACTAACATGGTTTTAGCCTTGGCTGCACTTTAGAATTACCTGGGGAACTTAAAAAACAAAACCAAACCCCTCATAACAGGTCTGATCCCTTCCCAAAATTCTGAGATTCTGCCTTAATTGGTCAAGGGTAAACAAAAATCTGTGCACTAGTAATCTTCAAAGCTTCCTAGATAATTTATTCTAATCTGAAACCAAAGTTAAGAAGCGCTCAACGGGGCCTGACAGGCAGCATGTGAAAGTCATTTGGGGCTGAAGCCCTCCCTCACCTATTTCTCTCGCAACATGGTAGCTCAAAGCTTATTTAGCAATTTCACCCACAAAGCACCACAAAGTCCTGGACAAGTATCAGCATGTTCTATCATGAACAAGCTGCTATTCTGAGGGGGCCTGTTAGTGAATACAACTCAGCAGCAATTTGCTAAATCCTCATCATCTGGCTACTCAGCCTTGTGTTTTTTTCTTCTTTTGTGTTCTGTACAGAAGCCCACAAAGTAGTTCCCAAGACATTTCAAAAAACATGTCAATTATGTATCCTTTAAATTGACTTAAACCCTTCCATTGCTATGTTACCACAATGTTTCTACATAACAACACAGAGAGCATCCAGAAGAGCTAGCTGCTGGCCAGCTCCAGCTTCATATGATGCCTAGGCATAAACCGAGTGGGTTTTCCCCTTCTTCTCTGTCTGGCATGTTTACCCCAGGGACCCTTCTGAGGGACTCTTGCGTATTTTGAAATAGACAACAATCACATCTGAGCTAATCTAGCTGGACAGCTTCTCAATATTCTTTCCCCTCACTAATAACCACTGTTATTGTTAACAACTGCAATCTGAGACCCAATAACCCCAGGTTATCTGGCTCACATTTCCTCTTGGGTACACCTCAGTATTTCAGGGTCGGCAGTGGCAGAAGCAAAGCTTAGCAAAACAGTATAAATATTACTGTTAGCATCATACAGATTTTTACTGTGGCCATCACTCAACTAAGACTTAATATGCATTGATTTTTTTAAATGATTTTTATTGTATTTTTCCCCGTCACCATTTAGTCCCCTTATACCCCCTCCCCCTAGCATGGATTTTTATTGTGATTTATCTTTTTATACATCTCTGAGTCCAGTGTAACAAAGACCCTCTAGGGATTCTCTACTATTCTTTATTTCTTTTTTTGGTCTAGGCACAAGAACAATGCCCAACAAGTGCTCCATAAATGTTCCTTGATATTAACATTTTAAAAGAATTCATAATTTTCCAAATGCATAGAAACAGAAAATAAAATGGTAGTTACCGGGGGCTGGAGGGAGCAGGGCAGAAAGAAGAGCTGTTGTTTAATGGGTATAGGATAGGATTTACAAAAGGTGAAAAAGTTCTGGAGACCTGTTTGACAACATGACTACACTTAACACTACTGAACTATATACCTAAAAATGGCTCAAATGATCAATTTTATGTGGCTTTCTAAAACCATAATAAAAAAAAATCCATAACTTTCAAAATGCTGACTATATAGCTGGAAAATTAACCTTCTCAATTGGAAGGCTGATGTCCAACATTCCATAATTTAATAGTTCATTCACAGTTTAAAAAAGTGACGATGTATATCAAATGTCTATTCATATGAATACTTTCCTTATTCTGGCTTATTGAGATTGGAACTCCTGTTCTTTCAAGGTTGTTTTTGCCTGTAGTTGGGAGTCATGGGCAACTTTTCCACCTTCACTCAACAAAGCCATTTTGAGGCTACCCTGAAGTCTCAGTTACTCTCCATTCACTTAAAACATTTAGAAAACTTTCTACTGACCTAGCCTCTTGTGTTTTGTATTTGTTAGAAGGATTACCTTTCTGTTATCCGAGGAGGTTTTACAATTATCTGGGAAACTTAACCATCTTTTCACTATTCAGCGGTTTTCAATGTTTGTAGGAGTTGTGAACTGGTATTTAGCTTTTGTTTATATGCCTGTTGGAGCCACATGATAGACAAATGCTGTACAGCACAAATTAACACGACTGGAATTTCACTAAAAATGGAAAATGTTGTTTATATTATTATGGAAAAGCACTGGACCTGAAAATCAAAAGACCTAGATTGAAGATTAGGTTCTGCCATTAACAACTTTTGGGAGATGACTTAATTGCTCTGAATCTCTAGGTCCTCTTCCTTAAAATAAATTGAGAGCATCTATTAGATAAATTAGATAATGCCCATGATTGTGCCGGGGGAACTCTGAAATTCCACGTAAACATAAGATACTACACATGCAGATTCTATTACCCTGCAGCTCTTGTCACTTCATGCACGGCTGTGCCAACCACTCTCTCTGGTCTAATTCCCTTGCAAGCCACTGTGAGAATACCTTTTAACAATCCGTGTGGTTATGTCACCTCACTGTTTAAGAAGCCATAGATCCAACTTCCAACTTCCTCAACCTGGCAATACAGACTTTTCCAACTGGATACCCGCTCTCCTCTCCTAACACCAAAACCTCTTGGAGCCTCTCTCCAGCCTCTGCCCCCCCTCATTCCTCTCAGTGGGCGGCATACGTCCTCACCCTGCATGTGCCCGGCCGCCTCACTCAGCCGCCTGCTCTGAGGGTGCCTCTCTACTGCATCGTCCTCTCCCTTCTTCCTTAGCTGTCCACTCAGCCATGCCCATCGTTTCCTGAAGGCCTGGCTTTTGCACAGTAATTCAATCCTGTGTTTCCTTGTTTATTAACATATTGCTCTGAATTGCTCCCACTTCAAGCAAGGGCTCCATCCTCTCTGCCAGTTAGATTGCACACAGAAACATGTACACAGTAGATACCAAATGGAAGGTTAAATACTCCTGTGAAGTTACACAAAGGTTAAATTCTACGGTGTGGAGAGAGCTAAGAAAACCATGGAAGGCCAAAGTTTTCTTGGTATACTACAGTAGGATCTTTATATTACAATTAGTTTGAAAATAATATCAGGATATATAGATGAATAATCACTTTAAAATGTAAAGGAAAAATCACTTCCTGAGGCTACTCCAGCATGAAAAGAATAACCAGTCATAAGAATAATAATACAATTATATCAATTAGGGGCTTTCTGCTGCAAACAACAGAAACCCCAAATCAAACTATCTTAAGGTAATTTGTGACTCATATGACAGGCCCATTGGGGAATTGGGATTCAGAGATGGCTCAGTCTAGCAGTTCCGGCTCATTTCTCTGCAGCTCTTTTGACTCTACCCTCCTGGGAGTGTCAATTTCACCCTCTGACAGATAGGAGTTCCTGACTACAACAGCAGTACCAAGAAGAAAACAAGAGATCATCTTCCTGGGCCTCCTTCTTAAAAGTGAAGAACTTTTTCCCCAAAGCCTCCAGTGACCTTTCCTTCACGTCTCATTTTTGGATTTATAACCAGGGAATTGTCATGTTCTGGGGGCTAAGGCTGTGTTCCTGAACCAATCACTGCATGGGCAATTACCAAGATTAAATTAATCTCAGCCTATCCTAAATCTAGATTAATCAAAGCCCATCCCTGGAGCTGGGTCACTCCCCCGAGATCCACAGGGCTGCTAAAATTAGGAGAGTGGAAAAGCTGTTGAATCAATCATATCTGTTAGAATAATACTCAAGTCTATCTGATTAATACAATTATATTCACAGCCATATGAAAGAGACTAATCATAACAGCTATCCCTACTACCCTGGCATGATGAATGTTATTAAATTTCGTGACAACTATAGTACTTCTCTGGAGGTAATTTCGTCCAGCATTCAGACACGAACCGGAAAATATGAAGATGGAAAAGGACAATGAACAACCCAAGTAGCTGCCACAACATCTCTGCGCTAAACCGTGATCATTGCAAGGGGAGTCCTCCAGCCCACGGTTCCAACAACCTGGCTTGTTCTACAGCCCCAAATGATTAGAGACTATGGTGGCAGGGGCTGTCATGGAACAGCAGCAAGAACTATATTACTGCTCATCCTGCCAAAAGGGAGCAACTTCTTTTTTTTTCCACTTAAAAGGACTATATAATCTCAAAAAACAGCTTCTGAAGGGCATTACATTTTGGGTCAAAATGCTCTTCACTCAATACTTTTTAGAAAGCATTTTTTTTTTTTTTTGCAGCATATCATACTAATTCATGTTCAAAATGATGCCCCTGAGTCATCCCAGCTCATGAGTGATCCATGAGCCACCAGGCCGCATGCAGCCTGCCCAGCTGACAACACAGCTGACATCGACACTCAGAAGACAAGACTCCAGTGTCGCTTCCATGTTTCTTGAATATGCCCAGTCATTAATATTTTTATGGCTTGAAAGCAGTGCCAGTTTTCTCATTGACATTTATCCAGTCAATAAAACAGGAAATCTAAATTTTAAGAAAATATTCCC